TTTCTGTGCATATTGCACAGTAATTGTTAATTTTTGTGCAGATAACAATACGTGCACAACGAATTTTTAACACTGGTCGTAACTACGTAACTAAATTTTGCCGATTCGGATCAGGTGCAAAAATACTATTCCTGATGGATCGGTAATACCGATCTTGATGGAGTTAAAAAAAATTTTATTTGAGTACTGTTCCTGATGGGTTCTAGAAACGAACCCTAATCCTTTTTTCATTATAGTAATATAGTATTTTGAAGGTCTTTTTAGAACCTTATCAGGAACGGTATGTAAATCGATTTTTTCCCACCCTATCGGGAACAGTACCGACGATCCATCAGGAACGGTATTTTTGCGGATCAGGTCCCTAGATTAAAATTTTTCGGTGCCCAAACCCTAATTACATAAAAAATTTTATTGGCATGTAATGACCTTTCTCTTTCAGAAATAGCCAAAAAATACTGTCATGGTAATGTCATCCATCTAAATGAATCAATTTAGTTATCAATATTAGAAAAGAAAAAAAAAATAAATAAAAAATCAATTATTTCGCTAGTATAATCTTGAAGAATTTGCTTGTGAACAAAGGCTAATGTTAGAATGAAAAAAAATTTTGTCATTCGAACAACCATTAATAGGCTCCTGTTAAGGTATTCGAACTTCGCTCAAAGAACAAAGATGGATTATTAAAACAACTTGAAGAACTTAAACAAGAATTAGCTACATTGAAAGTTCAGAAAATTGCTGGCGGTAACGCTTCAAAGTTAACAAAATTGTAAATATTAATCCTTTAATAGGGTTTTTTTCATTGATCACTTAGCAGACTCATTTAAAATTTCTCTTTTTAATATATAGATGTGAAGTTCGTAAGTCCATTGCCAAGGTTAAGACCGTTATTTCGCAAAATCAGCGCGACAATCTACGAGTCTTCTATAAAGGTAAAAAATATATACCACTCGATCTTCGGCCTAAAAAAACTCGAGCTATTCGACGTAAATTGACAAAGGTATGGGTTTGTATGGAATTCAATTTTCGGTATTTTTATATTATTATTATATTTAAGTTTTGAAATTAATTTGTAGGATGAAGCATCACGAAAGACCAGGCGGTATGACTGAACTGATTTCTAGTTTTTTTTTTTTGTAATCAAACTAATTTCATGGTTTTTTTTCCAGTGCTCATATCAGATCACTCCATTTCCCTCAGCGTAAATATGCGATCAAGGCATAGGCAAACTTATGATAAAAGAGAATATATTTCTAATCATATGATATGAATATTGTTGCTTGGTGGCCGAAAAAAATTGTGGATAGTATTTTTCTGATCCTACATACGAATAAATTCGGTACATTATAATGGAGACATGAATATTTGTGTCGTTTTTCTTTGAATGCTAAAAATTTTTTAAACTGTAAACCAAATTTATCATAACCCAATACTATGCTAATCAACTGCTAAAAAAAAAGTAGTAACTTAGACGCATTAATTATTTAAAATATAAATATATAATATATATAAACCAGTGATATATTAGAATAGATTAAGCTGCAAATTCTTCGTCCTCTTGCAATTTACGTGTGTGTTTATTTACAATCGTTAAAACGCTTAAAAGATTCAATTGAATGATTTTATCAATCGCGTAAATTAATTATAAATTAAAATCAGTTATCAGAATCATGCTTACTGTTCAATTGTTTTATTGCCTGCTCGAATGTTAACTTTTTTCCCGTCGCCTAAAAATAAATGTATATCATTATATTTTTAAAAGGAACGAAATTAATATTGATATACATACTATAAGTGACACTAATTCTAGGTTCCTTTTTTATATCTGATAAAATTACTGTATTGATAATGGCATTCGGGTTAGAAAGACGAGCTTTATCGGTCATTATTCTGTTGAGAAATAGTCTGCAATTTATTGGATCAAAATCAAAATTTCATAATATATTAAAGAAAATAAATTGATATATGTATTTTATACCTAGACGATTTAGAAGCCTTTGAAAAGGGAGCGAATTTCATGTCTACGTGATTTATATACTTTAACATTTTAATTTCGAAAAACAGGATAAAAATTTTCCTATATATTTATATATATATTTCACTAGATTATACCACGATTATCTGTTATACTGATCTACATATTGCATAAATTATGTTCTTGATAACACAAGTAGTATTATTATACCGAATGTATCAAAAATGTATCTTTTATTTAAATATTACTAGACATTATTTCTAAGTATATATTACAAATTTACCATTTAACAGTCAATGGATTAGTTAAAGTAGTTTCTACTGCATGATATTGTGTACGAAGCAATTTTTTACATTTTGGATTATCTTTTCCTCCAAGCCATTCACTATAAAATTATGTGATAAACGAAAAAAAAAATCAATAATTTTAAACAAAAAAATGAATAATACATTAATGTGAAGATTTACCTGTACAAGTTTAATACAGCCTCATTTTTTTCAGGAGACAACGAATCAACGGATCGATACATATTATTTACTTCATTGATCCAATCTTTGATTGGTATTGTTTCATTTGGTTTTAATTGACCACCACCGTTTATGCAACCAGATGGACAAGCCATAACTTCAATATAATTATAGGGACTATTTCCACTTTTAATTTTCCGAACAATATTTTGTATATTTCGAAACCCATATGCAGAAGCAAATTTTAACAATGGTTTGCCATCAACCTAAATGAATAAAAGGCATTATTCAATCATGTAAATGATATTTCTACTTAAGAGATATATGTGATAAATTTTTTTACCTCAAGAGAGATTTCTTTAAAGTCCTTGTTTCTGCCAGTCTTAATAACAACACCTTGTTCTTTTTCAACGTCAACTCCTGTTATTCCAAATAATTCACGTGCGGAATATTCAAGTATAAATTCAAGAAAGCCACCTGATGCCGAACCAGGTGATCGTAAAAGTTGCCCCTCTTTACTTGTTTTAACAAATGAGTCTAACGGCATTTCAAGGCTTTCATTAATATTAAAATTTTGCTCTTCAAACATTTTAATTACTTCACCGGTCGTTAAAACACAGTCAACGTCACGAGTTTGATATTCTTCATTAAAAAAATCAGATCTAGAAGCCTCCAGTTTCTTATCGTAACACATCATGATTCCAATATGATATATATTATTTGGCCTGTAAATAATGAAGAATAAAGCATAATTTAATAAACAATTCACGAAAATGGTTTAATGTAAAGATTAATGTACCCACCCTATTCCTAATTTACTTGCTAAATGATCTTTAACTATTGAACCCATAATTTGTTGGGGAGACTTAGTTTCACTGATATAGGGTAGTATAAATCCATGAGTTTTTTCAGCATAACATATCCACCCTGGACAGGATGAAGCTAACACTGGCAAACATATGTCACATGAACTTTTATGTTGCGTTGCATCTTTAGAAGATGTACTTTCACGTTTTATTCTATTGTTTTTTATTGAAACATTTTCTGGAGATGAAGAGGAATCACGATTTCCATGAAATTTTCGGTATCTCTCAACAAATTCACGAGCGCTTTCAAGTAATGAAAAATCTCGTGAAAACGACGTGTCGAATACATAATGTACACCGAGTGACTTGAAAAAATGAGTTAGACGTTTTGCAACCTTATTAAAATCAATTTGTTAGCGGAGTTTTGAAATAGATGAGTCATAAAAGAAATAAAAAGATTTTAGAAAGAAAGAGCACCTTTAATGAAGTTAATCCATATTTCGTGGCAATTGAAGCTTGAGACTGAGGAGCAATAGTGACAACAATAATTTTCTCCGATTTCCCATCTATTATTGCTTGCTTATTGTCTTTCAAAACATTATATAACTCTTCTTGCGATTGCATTGTTATTAAAACACTTTCGGCTGATGTAATGCATCCGCTGTTAAAAGTGGAATATTAACGTATTATAAGCTGATCAAAATTAAGAGAACCGGTAAAAAAAAAAATAATAATAATACCTGCAAGCCAAACAATCTTCTAAACTTATGTTTGCGGGTTGTAGCTTTGTCTCAGTACCCTCCTGTGAAACTTCATAATATCCACCAGAATTATCAATTTTAATCACATTCTGTAATATGTTAAGTGTGAAACGAATGTAAAGCAAAAAATGGCGGGTCAAACTTAAATTTCAGAGTTAATCAACCTACGTTGTTGTCCTTTGAGGTTTTTTGGACTTCAACAGGCTTTATACAAGCTTGAGAGGGGGAAATATAATCATTGAGATCTTTAAGAATTACCGACATTTCTGCCTTTATTACTTGATAAAAAGAACCGCCTTTTTATAACTATCGTTATACAGATTTTAGGAATTAATGTTGATGACATAATTTGATTGCATCCATCAATTTCAAATAACCGTAGATATCAGATAAGATTATCTATGATAACAAATCGCTTTTTTGAAAATTATAACTTATCATGACGACCGTTCGAGCAGTCTATGTAGATCCAGCTCTTGAGGGATCACCCAAGGAATTCAGTTATGCAGTTCCGTCTTTCAATTCCAACCAAGACAAAGAGTCAATTAAATCTCTGACTGACGTCTTATTATTGCTTCAAAAAGATATTAATAATCACCTTACTTTGCAATTAAAAGCGACTGGTGGGAACATTGAAGATGCAGAGGACGTGCAAGAGGAAGAGGAAGAAGAAGAAGAAAAGGAGTAGGATTGCAGCAAAACTCTTTTTTGAATGATGTAATTTGGAATTGGGAATCGGGCTTACTACTTTATTTGAGGCAATCAATTGCGCCATTCTCTGTCAATAGTATCAGTTTCAAACCAGACCAAATTTATCAAATTAAGGCCATACAAAAGTTAATTTTTTGGTTCTCATAACATAAAATTTGAAAAATGACCCGGCGACCCGGCTTTTAATTTTATTTTCCAAAAATTTTATATATAAAAAAGCATATAAAAATTTTTATAGACTTCTAAAAAAACTTCACCCGGATAGTTATATATAATAAGTGAAAAATAATTATATGAGAAATTTTCTTCACAAAGTAAACCTGAATAAACTTTTCGGTCGAGCTTTTAGTTAGTAAATTAAAGAAGTAGTGGCTAATGATTTGAAACAAGCAAAGTTTCACCGGGTCAATAATCATTGATATCTTATCGAAGATGTGTGACGCATAGCATCTTCGCCTTAAGACATCGAGAATTAGGACGTTCTCAAGCATCTCCCTAAATGTGATTTTCTAGTGACCGAAATAATGCTCAACGATTGTAACATAATTTTAGATAAAATTCAATAGTATATACGAATGTAGGTTTGCTCAGGTATTAATAGATCAAAATAAAGAATTCGGTCAATGTTATTTTATCTGACATATTGTTAAGGGGAATAATATAGTGCGTTGTTGAAAGAACTATTGTTCTTTTAAATTTGCTCATGTTTATTTTTCTTAAATAGGTCTATTCGTTTTTCATAACTAAACTTACTACTTCATTAATTTGTAATCATTTTCCACGAAACGAAGATAATGAGTACGATAATAACACGACCAGAGTAGTGTTACAAATCGAAAGTTGAAAAATCGATTAGTTGGTTAGTTGACAACTAACGCTAATCGATTGAACTTTTTAGACACCAACTAATTGATTAGTTGCAACTAATCGACTAAAGAATTAATCGATTAGTTGCAAAGAATCGATTGGAAAATTAGTTATTTACTTTAATGAATTACAGTAGTTGCAATTAAATCGATTGAAAAAAATTTTGCCGATTTGTAACACTAGCCATCGAAATTGTGGATCACTTGATGATATGCACTTCTGATAGGTTACGCGTATTGGTTTTTATAATCGATTTAAAGGATCTCGCGACGTGATTTTTTTATTTTTATTATTTAAGAGATCGGATTTTTTAGATAGTTGTTAATCTTTTTTAACATTTTTAACATACAAACATAAGGTACATAAGGTTGTTACTATATTATTCTGTATTTTTTATTTATGATTATATTAAACGCCGGCTAGTAAAAGAACCTTATACAAACAAAACTCAAAGCTATGTTCGGTTTTGGGTTTTGAATAGGGGAATCTTATTAGTCGCCGAGATGGGTCTAATAATTTTCTCCTGTCGGACACCACTTTTTAATTTGGTTCTTTTACTCATGAAACATAAATATGTATTTTTTTTGATAGTTATTTTTAAGACTGTTACTAATATTTCCGTATATATATATATATTTTTTTTTGTTACAAGGTTTTTTATCCTCTTTCAACCTCGATCCAGATAACCCGTTAATATTGATCTTATTATAATGAATATTCCTTTTGTAAGTTATATTTATTAGTGCTAAAATCTATTATACAAATTTACAAATAATTATTGAATTGTACTTTTTTAAATAGATCGTAATATAACAAATTCTACAAATTTGCTTGAAGAATTTTCATAAGTTCACGCGTTCAATAGCGAATCAATACTTTGATTAATAATTTTTCCGTTATTCTAGCATCCAAAACACTGCACACTTTTCATTATACTATACAAATGATACAGACATTTCGTTTTATTGGAATATACCAACTTTGTCACATCATGGATATCATGAAGTTCAACAAAACCTATTCGATCACAGAATATAGAAATCCAGGGCAGAACATTGTTTGAACAAACAGATCAGGAACGAAACGAAATGCTTACTGAGAAATGAAAAGTTCAAAGATGAAAATCCATTGAAACTTATTATACAATGCAGACGCATATAAACATAATTTTCGGAATTTTATCATAATGTTTTTTTTTGCGTAAAAGGTTTGATTAGCCATTAACTCACACAGCATATATTTATTACTAGTTTTTGTATTGTTTCTATCAAATATCGGTCAAGAATTGTTTCTAGAAGAGTAGAATTGGATATACTGTATATTGGAGATGTTATCGTCTGATCGTAATTAATCACACTGTGAACATTTTTTAATCTATTAGTCCCGTATAGTAGTCTTCCATATTGTCAATGAATGAAGAACAGGTACATATTTTCAAAGCATGCTTTGTTAGGCCTGGGGTCGGATTTTTCTCAAATATTCAAAGATACTGTCCAATTAGAAAATATTTATTCATCTTAGGGAACTTTTCTGGAATTAAATATGGGTATATACTGCTTTTGTTACTATTTACACTGTTAGAGTTACAGGTGCCAAAACTAGAGGGTTTTATTTGATTATCTGCTGTAATTTTAGCCGTTCCTATAACACTCTATATAGGTAGAAATCGAGATCTTTTAGCGATTTTTGAATCTGTGTTCGGTTTGCAGATTCTCACGTGTAACATCCACATGTAAATACGACATCAGTCTAAGGATGTTAAAAAATCTGTCTGGTCCGGTCCCGGTTCAGTTCTTAAAAAGTCTGGTTCTGAACTAGTTTATAACTCCTGCCTGAAACCAGTCTAGCCCTGGCGGTTTAATATGCAATATATACGTACAATATACAATACATATTATATAACGGTAATTTTTTACTTTCGCACTTTTTTTTTTACGTATGTAATTATCCAATTAATCATCCAATTAAGTTTATACCTATTTAAATTTCAGCGATACGTATAAAAGTATCATTTTTTATTCATGCTATATAAATTTCATTTAAGATGTTAAAAACGACACTCAGTTCATGCTATAATGATTATTTCTGAACGGTTCTTAAAAAGTTCAGTTCAAAACCAGTCTGGACCCGACCTCCTGTGAAATAGTGCAAGTTATATAATCACTAATCAAGATTTTTTAGTGTACTATAGATTAATAGTAAAAATATAGAAAGCTCAAGCTGCAATAACTCTTGAACCAGCGACCCCACACAAATATAATTATATTTGCCAGGTTCGTTATAATGTGCTTTTTAACGTGACAACGCTTTTTTTTTTTTATTTTAATTGTTTGGAGTGTAGCGGAGGGGATAAAATAATGACAAATTATTGTTTTTGATTTATTATTAAAAAAAATATCAAAAACGCAGCTATTGTATATTGTGTCACAATATGTTCAGAAAAATTCAAGCTACATTTTTGTTTTTATTAATAATGCATCAAAAAAACGAGAATTTTGGCATTATTTTATTCTCATCGCTACGCTCCAGATAATAAAATAAAAAGAAAAAGAGCGTTGTCACGTTAAAGAGCACATTATAACGAACCTGACAAATATTGGCCGATGGTAATTTTTTTACATGATTGTATACTTATCAAAGTTAAAATAATAATTTTTTCAATGATTTCAATAAAATTTTTTTATCAGAAAAAAAAGATTTATCAAAATCGGCTAAGTTTATAAAAAAAATCCATTCCGCCTATTATGATTAATTTTTTTTTACTTCGAGCAAAGTTTTTCTAATAATCACCAAACAAATTTTTTTATTTGAATTTTCCAATTGTGTAAAATTCAAATAAAAAAGTTTTCTTGGAAAATGCTAGGTGATTGTCAAGAAACCTTCGCTCAAAATTTTACAAATTAAGCGTAACTTATTTGTAGACAGAAGATTTTCCCTAACTTGAGCAAAGTTTTCTCAATAACCACAGCCGATTTGATAAAAACTTTTTTATTTTGATTTTAGATAAAAAGTTTTTTTCGAAATCATTAAAATGGCTTTTGAGAAAACTTGAAACGGAGCGGTAGAGCAAAATCAAGAGATTTGGCTGATCACATGACACAGATCAATGAGTGCGGAAATTTTATCGGAGGTGTTCCCTATAATAGACTTAATCTATAAAATCTTAAATAATAAAAAATGCCGACTTGCGTTGCACGAAAATAGAAGAGTTTAAGGGCTAAAGGATAAATTCAAACCTATTTTCTATAATTTTATTATTAGATTAAAAAAAAACCAACTAGATATTCATAATAGATCTTAATAATAATAGAACAGTCGAATAATTATACATGCCCGTCCAAACTATAAACCTTTAAATTCCAATTCTACACATAATCCCAAATTTGATTATGACTATAATAATTATTTTAACATTCTTAAAATATTTTACCCTTTTTTAATCAGCTAACTGTATGGTTCAATAGACTGGCATATTCTGTCTTCCAAGTAGTTAGAAGTATGATTCTTTTGCACAGTAAAACAAACTATTTTAAATTCTATCTCTAATAAGATTAAAACTTTAGAGCTATCATTTGAGATGCAACAATTTGACTACTAAAATCATCACACCTTACATTCATGTTTTTAAAAAAATGTTTTTAACAACTTTTGGTATAAAAATGAAATCTAAAATTTGGTTGATTTTTAAATGTTGAGATATAACCTGTTTTTAATAGAAATTTTTATATTTCTTGGAAGATGTTGATATAAATTTGATAGAAATTTTCATTGTTTCATTACTCAATATGAATAACCAAACTTCGTTTTCAATGAATCATATCTTAGTTTATCTAGCTTAGACACGCTTGGTGATATTTTAGAAAATGACATTTCAAAATGTATTGAAGTTACGTAAAGTTCACTCTCGGGTTTTATTATGCCATCTACCGAGATTTCATTTTGTGAATAAAGAGTAGTTCGTAATGCTGCAACTGCAGCTTCACGGACTAGGGACGCCAAATCCGCGCCACTTTAGAGAAAACAAAAAGAAATTAAAAATTTTCTATTCAATTTAGGTAATTTAATGTTTACACAAATGCAAACCTGAAATTAGAACATCTTTCATCTTCGGCAATTTTTTCTAATGAAACGTCGTCTAAGGGGGTCTGTTTTGTTAAAGTTTTTAAGATTTCATATCGTTCAGATGCTGTAGGTAACCCTACATATAAAAGCTTGTCCAGACGTCCAGGACGCATCATTGCAGGGTCAATAATATCTTACCAAAGGATTTTTTATTTATTAGTGAAGAATAATGTAAAAAGTAAATTAACAGTAAATCTCTGATGTATACCTGGCCTATTTGTAGCTGCAATAATATAAACTTGTTTTCGATTTTCTAACCCATCTAATTCAGTCAACAGTGTGTTAACGATACGCGCCGAAGTTTCAGACTAATTTATTTATAGAATATGCCATGATTATTAAACAAGTTGATATCTCTTAAAATTATGAATTTAGTGGATGAGTATAACCTGTGAATCGTTACGTCGTGCGCAAAGCGCGTCAAGTTCATCAAAAAAATATTACGCATGGTGATGATGCTCTGGCGCGATTAAAAACTTGTCGGATGCCACGTTCGCTCTCACCAACATACTATTATGAGAAATTTATACTTGCTTCGATTAAAAATCCGAACCAAAACTTTTCACTCTATATGAAAAATATCTGCAAACCTTGTTTAGCAACTCTGGCCCCTTAACTGAAATAAAGTTTATATGACTCTCGTTGGCCACTGCCTTGGCCAAGAGCGTCTTTCCACATCCAGGTGGTCCCCATAACAAAACTCCAGAAGGCGCTGTTATTCCAACTTTTTTGAATAATTCTGGATGTTTAATCGGTTCAACTATTGCCATTCTTAATTCATCTCTCACAAATCTTAATGCACCAATATCAGACCAAGAAACATCAGGTACTGTAGCAAATCCCTCCCGCTTAGATGAAGGTTGAACTTTTGAAAGTGCCTGAAAAAAGTCATCATTAGTGATACTAAGAGGTTCAAGTTCCTCTTCCGTAAGTGGGTCGGGATGATTTTTAAGAAAAATGGATATTGAACGCATTTGATCTGAAGGAGATTGATCTTCAAATGGGGTACTTAAACCATCCGATACAATAGAATCCTGCTTTCCATCTATGTGCATTGCAGACAAATCTTCATCCATGACACAGTTATTTTCACTTAATTTTGTGAATATTCGCTTGACAGCTATAACACCAGCTGCAGCCGTCAATGCATTTAGATCAGCTCCTACATACCCAGGTGTTAATTTTGCAAGTGTTTTATAGTCAAAGTCCCCAGAGAGTTTTAATTTTGATGCAATTACTTTTAAAATCCTGTGTTTGAAAATAAACTTTGATAGCTATTCACGAATTTCACTTAAATGTACTAGAGAAACGTACTTTTCTCGTGATTGCTCGTCTGGAACTCCTATACTAATTTCTCTATCAAATCTTCCGGCACGACGAAGTGCCGGATCAAGTGAATCTGGTCTATTTGTCGCACCAATAATTAATATAGGCTTGTTGTCTGTTTTATCCCACGAAAGATCTGCATATATTTCATATTCAATAAATGCGCTATTTATAAGAACATGATCGAATAAATCTAACAGAATACTACACACCATCCATGCATGTTAGCAGCTGTGCGACTATTCGTCTTTCCATCTCCCGCTGAGCTGTTTCTCTTTTTGGAGTGATAGCATCAATTTCGTCAATAAAAATAAGACACGGTGCTTTTTTCTTAAAGAATAATTAGAGTTTGTCAAAAAAAAAAAAATAATAGTGATTATATTCATTAAAATTTTCGTTACATTCTATGCTCACCTTAGCTTCTTTAAAAACATCTCTAATTTTCTTTTCAGACTCTCCAGACATTCCAGATACTACAGATGGCGCAGAAATGCTAATAAACTGTACCCCTAATTCCTACCATTGTTATATGTAAATACTTCAGTCATTATTAGAAAGAATTTAGATTTATTACAGGTCCGTACCCCAGCAATGGCGTTTGCAAGTAATGTTTTCCCACATCCTGGAGGTCCGTGCAATAAAATTCCTCTAATTTAAAGTAAAGTTAAATTTTGCCAACATAAACAAAAGGATATCAATAACTAACCTTGGTGGTTGAACGCCAGTGTGTAAATATATTTCTGGATGGGCCAATGGCATTGCTACTAATTCCAAAACTTCTTCTATACAAGCATCGATTCCTCCTAAATCAGATAATCGTGCAGTAGGTAAGGTTTCATTTTTTGAGGCTATAAAAAAAAATTAAATTAATAAACTATTAAGAAATCGATTTAAGTGAGCTTTTCCGCAGCTGAACAATATTTTTTACTTTTTGAATTTTTCAATTCTTTATTTTGATTATTTTTTGCCATAGTCTTTTTTTCCTTAATTCCATGTGTATCTATATTTTGTGCGTCTACAGGTTTGCCTGGACTTGATACTGATGATGCTGTGGGTATTGGTTTAGGGGATGGGTCCAC